GTTAACTTTGCCCGGCCACCTTCCCGAGGAAGAAAGTTTGTCTTTTGCACTGGAGAGCCGCTGTGATCTTAGTTAATGGCGATCACAACAGGAATATAATACACGTGCTTGCAAGTTGTGTACATTTTCGGAATGTTTCTCGGATGTGAATGTAAAAAAACGATAACAGCGAAAAACGTTGAATGATGTTATAGATTTGCCGTGAGCGAGACCGAGACTTTGAGGTCTCTGTGACAAGCCCTTGGAAAGAATAAGCAAATATCTACATGACACTGAAAATTAAAACGCGGTACACTTGTTCGCAGCCTTTCCTTCATTGACTCTTAAGTGTATTGCAACCCTTGAGGTTCGACTCATCTTCACTGTCTAAGAGAACAGAAGCGGGTAAAGTCGTCCGTGGCTCTGACGTTGCGGATTCTCCCGGTCTTGTTTAGAACATTACGATACTGTCTGGTAGACGCCAAATTTTGATCAGAAAGTGGTAAAAGACATAAATGGCTTCACGAAATTAAGTTATTCTGAGTTTTTCCTTCTTTTTATTAATGTTACTCAATTTCCATCCACATAAGGTGCGCCCCAATAAGCAATTTTAGAATATAACCATGTTAACTCCGAACCTGAAGGGGTACGTACTTTCTCTTTTTATACGCGTAAAGAATTTGACTAGGATCTCGAAACTGTTCTCTTTACTCTACAAACGTGTCTTTGGTTGCCAGAGGACGGTCTTTTACCGAGAAATATGTAGTTCGCTTTTCTTTCGTAAATTAAAAACCATTTTCCTAACGTTGCCAATTATTCAAAGAGTATGTATCCTTGCTTGTTTTAGATGACAGGTAAGCACCTTATCCGACAAAGCTACTGAAACTATAGTCAACGTCTTCGATGCATTATCAAATGGAAGCAACTACATACCATAATAAGTAGTGGTGATGATCACCATTCAGAATGAAGTATCACACCATACCAAGCTGGCCTTTAGCGAAAAACCTTTCGGTCATTTTCCTAAGTAGTATTTAGAAAGTCATCTGATATTCATTTTTTGCCACCTGCTTGAATTCCGTCTTATCTTCTGAAAATAATCTGCAGAAAACTCCTTTGGTAAACTTGAAGGGAGGGAATAAGTGGTCGATATCGTGCCTTACTGTGGCGTATTTTGGGAATGTTTGGACATTTTCCTTGTCATCTTTGGGTTTTCCAACTATGTACCGTATAGTTTTACCAAAACAAGTTCACATGGACCTACGTGGCCTTACAAGCAAGCGTCCTCTCTTGAACAGGAATCAATATGAATTAATTGGCATATCACATGAAAAGAACTTACAAACTTGAGGGTAGTCTATTATTGAAAAGGGGCATCCATATTTTGCAGCCGTACATGTTGGGGGTTAGGGTTAGGGGTTAGGGCTAGAGGTTAACGTTAGAGGTTGGGGTAAGGGTTATGGGTTAGGGTTAGGAGTTAGGCTGGGGTCTTGTCTACTGTATGTACGGCTACGAAATATGATCCGATCGAAATAGGACAAAATCGTAACATTCTCAAGCACACAAACTCTCAAAACTAGAATACATCTTTTTCAAGGATAATGCATAGATAGCATAAAACCTCCCAGACCGTGCATACAAAAGACTACTTTTGCATTCCACCTGTGAAATAGGATTGACTTTTCGCGTAAATTTGTGAGCAGCAAACAGACATGATGCAGATAGCGATAATTTTTCAAGTACACACTGCACCATTAAATGGGAACATGTCAAAAACTTGTTTTTAATGTTTAAACATTAAAGATCCAACACGCTGTTGAGGTTATGTTCTCTGCTAATCGGATTCGAAACATCGTCTAAGTAATTTTTCGAGTTAAAGTCATGTCGAACATTTTCCGGAACAATTCGTTCGTACTGTTTACGTTTGCTTTAACCGGTACTCGATCGCTATTTTCACGCACCTAAAAAAGAATACCATGTCCTTCACGAATCAGCGGGGCTGACAACGAGTGATCATCTAATATTGAGCGTGCTTTGCGACAGAATGTATTCTACCAAGGAGCTTCTCACTTCCCCATCATAAGTTAGTAAGTCTCCTGGCAGCAACATTAATTTGCTACCTTTTTTTAGTAGATTAGAGGCCACTTAAATGTCCAGCGCCTGGAAAAGCTCAGTACAATAAAGAAAGAGATATAATAAGTGTTTTCCAGAACCATATTCTCAGTCTACTAACACGGACTGCACACTAGTTCAGTTCTGCCTACATATATATTTTGTGGCCACATTAGCTTTCTGGGGAAGTAACAGGTTCTTTTCAGCAAGATTGCGACGCTGGTTTCCCAGACGGCCAAGCGTTTATGAAATAGAGTTTGTTACATTCCTAAAGAATTTATCTGGCATCAAATTAGATTTAGTGAAGTGTCTAAATATGTTCTACTTGTGGACGCGTATGCAAAAATTATGGCGAAAGGACGAGACTCAGGCAACTGATGGGAAGTAGAAGAAGAAGAAGAAGAAGAAGAAGAAGAAGAAGAAGAGATAGCGATATCTGGAACGGACCGTTTATTCATTACGCGTTTCGAACGCTCATTAGAGCCCATCGTCGGGACATAACGAAACTGCATGGCTTACAGTACGCTTAACTCGGATCGTAGGCAAGAGGATTCAGTTGTGGGGCAGATTTGTTTGCGCAGTGCCTGATACACAGTCATCAAAGCCATGCGCCTGCTGACCGATCAAGTGCAGGCTTGCTGCAGCAGTCAGAAAATTCATTCGTCTGACTGGCCTAAGATCCTCATACGGGGAAAAGAAGTTCTGGATTGCTTTGTGATCTTTGGTAGTTTTAGTGAGCAACTGCTGGCAGGGCACGTTTTTTTCAATGCGAAATTCATGCCCAGTCTCTCGGGTGGACCTAGCTACTCGGACAGATGGTCTGTTCTCCTCACAGCTACATGGTTATCGTGTGCTGCAGACGGGCTCGGACGCGAATCCCAGTCGTTCGACGGATAAAATACTTGTTCCTCTAATCGCACCTGAACTGCTTCCTGGAGCTTGCCTCGTCGTTTGTGACGGCAATTTACACTTGAAACCTTCCATAAATCTAATAAAACAATGGGAACCTGAGTACTGTGGAAGCGAATACACGGGAGTTGCATGAAATTCTTAATGGCAGTTAAGGTCGAATGGACATGGCAATTACCTGTCCATATCCATGGTAGAACGAAAATGATCTATAGATCAGTTGGTGGGACATTTAACGTAAAAGTAGTCGATAACCACCATACTCGGGTTCGAAATTAGGTGCTCATAGGAGATGGGGTATCTCCAGGTGACGGCTGTAAATTAGCAAAAAATGTAGCGGGCAGATTGCCCAACACAGGTGCGAGGACAGTAATTTCGTACCGTGCCGGTAAAACCAAACATAGTTCAGAAGATGAAGATGCGATCACCGGAACAAGAAATTTATTTGCCTGACGTTTCGGATCCTTACTCGAATCCACCATCAGAGACATTAGCATATAAAGGTGATTGTGGCACCAGGAGTGCAGTATTTATAGCACGTGGCTGCCGTGGGACCGCATGCGCACTGCAATTAACAGTTCTCGTAATCACCACTGGGGCCGTAATTGATGCGGTGGTGGCTTGTCGGTTCGAGTCCGAGTCGTTAATAGCCGTGATTTCGTCATCCGTGCTGGATGCTGGTGTGACGATTGCTCGGCAAATTGGCTCACTGTCACTGTGATAATTGCTCGCCCGCGCCCTCCCCACGTGACTGATTCTCCTGCCCAGAGAAAACCGCAGCACGGAATATGGTACGGGGAGGTCATTGTGCTTGTTAATGGATTGCGGGCCTGAGAACCAGGACTCGAGCAGCTCGCGGCTCAAGCGGTTGTCACCCCTTGCGAGGATTTCGGCCTCTTGAAATTTGAAAATATGGCCGGGTCCCGTCGAGTGTGCCGCCACGTCAGAGCCAGCGTCTCCCCGCCTCACTGATGCTGCATGCTCCGCAATTCGCGTACGGAGTAATCTCCCAGTTTCTCCGACATAATTGATTTGTCCGCAACTACACCAGATCCGGTAAATGACTCCAGACGTGTCCTGCCGTGGCAGCGGGTCTTTTGGCCTCATGATTTGGCGTCTAATGGTTGCTTCCGGCCTGTGTGCAACCCCAACTCCAAGTGGAGTGAGAAGACGACTGACGGCTTCCGAGACCTTCTTCACGTACGGAAGAGCCCGCCAAAATCTGGGTCCGGTTGGATTTGGTCTCTGGTGTCCTTTTCGTATGCACTGGTTGACAAAGCTGCGCGGGTAACCATTGGCTCTCATTACCCGTCGAAGATATTGTAGTTCAGCAACCTTGTCTTCCATTTCACTGCAGTGCGTCTCAACGCGCTGGTATAGCGCCCTTACGCAACTGCGTTTGTGACTGATCGGGTGGTTGCTATTGAAGTTCTGTATTTGCGTCGTATTTGTCGCTTTCCTGAACACTTTGATTTTTAGGCCACCACAATCTTTGCGGTAGACGAGGACATGCAGGAAGGCCAGCTGATTGTTTTCCTCCTCCTCCATCGTAAATTGGATGTCCGGGAAGACGGCGTTGAGTTGTTCTTTGAACGTCAGCACCTGATCCCGTTCGATGACGACGAAGGCGTCATCCTCATACCGAGCCCAGAATTGGTGGTGTCGGAAAACCAGCGACTCCAGCCGTTGTAGGACCGCCTCGGCTATGAGTCCCGAAATCGGCAAACCCATTGGCGTTCCCTTCACCTGCTCGTAGATTGTTCCGTCGAACGTAAAGTACGTCTTGAGACAGAACTTCAGGAGCTGGATGATTTGGGCGTGTCCGAGGCGATTCTCCGTTTCGTCGTATTTCGCTCGTAGGAGTAGTTCGATGGTCTCGACTGCCAGGTCCTGCGGGATAGAAGTAAAAAGGGACGTGACATCAAAGGAAACTATGATATCGCTTGGCAGGAGACTTACTCCTTTAAGTTTCTCCAAGAATTGCGTTGACGAGCTGACTGTGGTGTTCGAATCGGAGGTCAGAAACTTGAGACGTTGTAACAGCCACTTTGCCAGTCCGTAGTTTGGAGTGTCCGCATCAATTACAGCCCCAGCGGTGATAACTAGAACTGTTAATTGCAGTGCGCATGCGGTCCCACGGCAGCCACGTGCTATAAATACTGCACTCCTGGTGCCACAATCACCTTTATCTGCTAATGTCTCTGATGATGGATTCGAGTAAGGATCCGAAACGTCAGGCAAATAAATTTCTTGTTCCGGTGATCGCATCTTCATCTTCTGAACTGCTACCTGGAACTCGCCTGTTCGCTTCTATCAGCAAACATAGTGTGTTCGGATCTGGATAGACGATTAATCATGAGCCTGTGAGATCAGTTAACAATGCAGCAAATGTGCAGAGAGGAGGGAATGGGGGATGATCACAGTCGAACACTAGGAAAACATAAAGCGCATCTACATCTACATGTAAGCAAGCACTTATCTAAGGTCTGGGACCTTAATGTTTGCGAGTGTCTACTATGCCATTATTCAGCAAACCATGGCTCTCGCAGCCTGGTATGCGCTGGCATTTATCTAGCACTTGGTTCCCTGTCGCTGGATGCGCTTGCGTTCCTGCCGCATATACAGGTCGTGAGCATGGCCGCCCGGCCATCCTCCTCTCTCTGACCAACTGTGGTGCTCTTTTTGGTAAAAACCCTAGTTAAGTGTTTGTTGTGGACCAGGGGGTGTGGTGGTACACCTAAATGCGCCTGCGACCGTGTCGGCCGCCTGCACCCGCTTCCGCCTCTAGTCATCTTGATTACGCCTTGACACCGGGCCCAGGTGGGTGTGGAGGAGAGAGTGTGGTAGATGCTGCGCAAGTCTACTCTCACTCTAAACTAATTCACGTGCAAGTCACCGTACCTGCTTCACGTTGCCGTGGAGCACACGATAGACATCCTCGGACATAACGGTCGAACTGCTGTCATCCAAACTTTGGCCATGATGACCCGTTGGGTCTACATAAAATTATTACGCACACACACGGCCGGCTTGCGCAGACTAACTGGAGTTCAATCAGCGCATGTTAATAAACACTAACCTAGCGAATTCCGGAATGCGCATGTTATCTGGAAAGCCTTCTTGACAACCTATCTTGGCCAGTGTCTGGTAGATGTTAATGGATGGAGTTGCTCATAGGCCATCCCCACATACGTTCTCTGACCCATATGAAGACGGATGGACATGTTTGAACAACAGGCGGAGGTGCGGGAGTGAATGGAAACAGAGGAGCAGCTTGTGCCTGTGCTGTGGGCATATGATGGGGCAAGTGAGTAAAAAAAACTCGGCGACACAATCACATCATCCTTACGTTTGTAACCTTGGATGGGAGACGTCACAGCAATGACAGAAGAGGTCAGTCAATCAACTCAAGACGACCTCTATGAAGACATAACGGCTACGCTCGGCAATCATACGCATTCGACCCACGGAGAAACTAGGACTGCCAAAGACGACCTCACGACTTTGTGCTTTTCATCAAATGAAACCACAGATAAGACTATCAAACAACTTGGATGGTGGCGAACGTAATTTTTCTTTACTAACGTCGATAAAACGTCATTTAAGACATTGGCTCTGAACTCTAACTTTTCTGGCTCCCTCAAAGACCTTGTCAACTAAAATTAGAAACAGTGTTTAAGAAACAGTGAAATCATACTTTAAACCTACCCCGCTGCAAATCTTCAAAATTTAAGCCCACGCTAGTTAAATAATATTGATTGTATCCTAGGGGATCTCCCACAGGAATCTATTCACTAATGGAAGAGACTACCTGGAAAAGTAGCATGTGGCAACGAAATACCTATGTGCTGGTCAGTAGAATAGGATGATTAGAATTGTCGATTTGAAGTTTGCCGAATGTACTCTTGTGTCCTTGCCACTCTTATCTGCGACTGCCTCTGGTGATGGGTTCGAGTGATAATGTGAAACGTCAGGCCAATAAACTCCTTGTCCCAGTGGTCGCATCTTCTTCTTCTTTTGAAGGAGTTCATCTGTTTGGAAATTGGAGATAACTTTACTTGTTACTATCTCATGCCGTATGCACCGACTGCATATTCAATGTTTTTTGGAGCTTTCCTTTGCGAATATGGCAATTTACAACTCGCACCGAAGTTAATGCTTCAAAAGTAGTGGAGAGAGCACCAGTTTCCCAGGAGATCCGAGATACCAGTGACGAACGAGCATAAATTTCAGTGATTTGGCATTTTTTTCGATTCAGCAGCAGTCACAATCTGTCGTATAAACCTGGCTGAGTCCGCATTCTATTCAAAAGAGTAGAAACCCGTTTCACCACGCTAGCAAATAAACACCCTGGACGATTAAACCTTCATGAGCCCTTCATATCCAGTGGCTACTAAGGCCATTTTATCGAACAAAACAGGCGTCGAGCGAGCTGATGACGGCCAAAGGAGCAGTAACTCAAGGTCTGGAAGGCCATTTCCTGCATTCCCGTTTCACCTATTACAACCTACCCGAGTGCATATAGCTCTGTGAGGTGGGCTGTTTATCGCTTTTAAATCATCACCCTCCAAACCTCTGGCCTGTGCAAAACTAGTAAGTTGTTTTAACGAAATACAAACAGTAACAGCATAGTCAGTATATACTGAGTGCTTTCAAGACATGAGTTGTCATGACAGTTTGACATTCATGCAATTTTCTGGACAATATGCTATAAGCAGTCGTGTCATATTTGATGACACACAAGTTGCGTAACAGCTTTCTTACAACTTGGTGCGACGACGCATTCTAGCGTTCTACATGCAGGATTAACTAAAGGAAGGAGCACGCTATTAATCACCTAATACAGTGATCTGGCTTTTAAATTATGGATAAAGAGCGGCCTTCTTATGAGCTTAACAATCGGTTGTATATCTTTCGGGGATTACCGCGGCACATGCTGAATGTTCAGTTAGTCATGGAAACATGCACCCTCCTTCTGAATTACAGGTAACATTACACTAAATTCCACTGAATACCCTTTATCCTGTCCTAACTTTAACCCTAGCAATAATCCTAACCAATTTAACCCCAACCTTAGCCCCAACACTATTCCTTATTAGCTGGACACCATTTCTAGCCCCGGTACCTACCCAAACCTCAACTCCTCAGAATTTAGCGTAGATCCATCCGTAATACAGGGAGTCAATACTTCCGTGTCCTGCCCCTGCTAAGACGTTGTCGAGAGTCTTACAATCGAAAGCGAAAATGCCAATGGTTTTATTTTACGGTACAAAGCCTTTAGTTGAACAATTTGAGTTAGCGGTCTGATGCTAATTATTCGACTTTACATGATAAATGTTTGTAATGGTATTTAAAGGTTCAAAAATTCTTCATCAATGCTCCCATAAAAATCGAGACCCACAGAAATGTAGGTAAATATACGGAACAGTTTTCTGGTTTGTGCAATTTTCACCTTGGCTATCAATCAGTTTTGAGAGTATTCATGTTACCCTTTTTAAAAATAAGCCGATCACTGGTAACTTTTGGCGACGCCTATGCAAAGCCTACCCAGGCAGTCCATTGCACACTTGGTACGATTTCCGCTGCCGAATTGTTTTAATGAGAATATAATACCTACCCATAATATTCAAGTAGACAACAGAAAAGGTGATAAGCATTTTCCCGTCCTATGGCGCTCTCATGTGCAATGGCTTTTTTGCTCTTTTCAACAGCAACATTTCCTCACAAACAATTTAAACGGTAGAAGATTTTGATTTGCTCACCCTGGTTGGTCTCTGGCCCACAAGAAACTGCTCAGCTGCACGGAATATGTCAGTTTACAGCGGGAACGAACGGGCAGGATTTGGTTTGTGGTAACGAAATATATCGTCGTCGTTTCCGTGTTGGAGTTTTTACAATTCCTTGGACATCCGATCAGGTTATTATGAGCTTAAATTGGTGTTTACAGTAGGGATAAGTGGAAAGAATTCGACTTTTCGTAGCATTATTCTTCAGTCGCCCTATCATGCGTCCACACTGACCTGTTAGGGTCTTCCTTTTTTCTGGTTTTGAATGTCCATGCCCTGATTAACACAGCAAAAGGTTATTTATTGCCAAGTTGACGAACTGCTTTAGGGATTCTTGGTAGAACAGGAGGGATTCCAACTGCGTCTTCTGCATAGGCTTCTAGCACTGATTTTGCTTTCCTTAGGCAAAGTCGTTTTGTACATTGTCAAACAGCTGGTATTTTGCCAAATCTCCTCCTTTACCTCGATGCACTGACATCACTTCAACAGTGAAGAAGTATTCAATGTAGAAGTCGTTCCAAAAATCTGAATATTTGGGGGTAATTTCTGCCACCTAGCAATCCCAGTTCTCCTGAAAACAAGATGACGTCTCTATGAATTATCAAACTGGTGTCAAGTAAAGCGCTTCAAATGACTCTGACCTCTTCACTTTGTGGGCAATTTTAAAGGTCCAAGCTGCGATCTCACTGCTGGCGAAGATGCTTTCCAGGTAAACAAAATTGTCAGCGGCTGGAAGACCAGGGACAGCGATATTGATTCATGTTAGATTATAATAATCGGTCAGGGGATTTTTATGAAGAGAGGATGGGATGAAGGCTGTGGTGCGTGTCCTCTGTTGAGGCGACATTGAGTTCACTGTTGTAGGCGCGTCAAAGACAAGGCGAGCCCTTCTTCGAAGTTCGGTCGGATGTGGTTTGGTAGCCCCACCTGAAGTAAACAAACCCCAGTCACCTCTAATACGGGACCAGTGGTAATAAGGGTTTTTACAGATGGAGCCTGCGAACGCACGGGCAACGAGGTCAAGTAGTTGCATGCAACAGAAAAGCTATTGGGAGTGCGTGATTGTTCTTTCAATGATGGAGAAATAGTTGCGTTAACCCCTAATCGCTAACTATAACCCCTTATCCTAAACCCCATCCGCCAACCCTAACCCATAACCATAACTCCTAACCATACCCCTTAACCCCAACCCCAACAGTATTGTGTCCATCGGGTGGGGCTACAAACTCGCATCTTACCCGAAGTTCTCACAGTGACCTGCATCCCTCAAATACTGAGGGGCATCTCTTGACTTCGATATTTCATGTTTCAATAACATTTACCAGCACTTCACTAAGTATGAGTCCGATTTGGGTTGGGACGAGCACGTGCCACTGCTTCTGGCAAAACACCCGAAGTGGTTACACTGTCTATTGTACAACTGTTGGACTTCCCGCTTGCGATTTGCCCTCCTCATCTCAATTCCCTAAATATGACTTGCTCTTATTCCCTGCGCCATAGGAACAGACGGACCAAAAACCATACAAAAACACTGTTTCACGTTCCCTGACATTTCGCCTACAACAGTGAGACCGCGGAGTTAAGATCGACACTACCACGCTCTATACGGATTGCGCATGGGATTCTCGGTAGGGCGTCCTTGTTCTGACCGATGTAACAGATGCCTCTGTAAGTAGAATGCATAAATGTTTCGGGCTATTTCGAATAGCGCGATCCCGTGAATTTTTCCGGAGACTTTTTCAGAAGACAGTCATGTTAGTGAGGGACTCTACTGGCCACCTTTCTTTCCTATGCCTCCTCGAGCGAATATATTATCTTCGCAAAGACTTGAAAGTCATATTTGGAAAGTGAGTCCTCGCTCGTCTTTGTCAGCGAAAATAGTTCGGCCGCGGCAGGTTAAAAACATCGTTTGTGTTGAGTCATGAAAACTACCAGACTATGTTCTGCGTAGGGAGGATGAGGGATTAAAGGCGCTCTGAAAGTGCTCGAACCTGAGGCCCAGCATTCGGCCTCGAGATGACCAACCGCATAACTCGGATCGAATGTGGGCTGCGATATTATTGGTGTCCGCCAAAAAATTCCTAATTTCCCGGGCGCATTGAAACGTTAGATTTGCAGCACAGAAAATGTCGCTTACCAGATGTCATTGAATTTGGTTCATCTTGACAGTAGTTGCTGCATCTTTCATCGTTCTAAACGAACCCATCATAGTGTCACCTGTGTGACAGCCTAAAGAATTTCAGACCATTTGCGCAGATACTATTGCGCAGTGCACCGTGGCTTCTCCAACAGCTTCTTTACCCGGCTTGTTGTCAAAATTAACAGATGTTTTGCCTGGGTTATTTCTTGTCCATTGATGCGGTCGTAAGCCTCTAGTGCCCGTCCACTAAAGAATTATCCTACTAGAAGAAATCATTTTCAACTTCTAAAGTAAACGACCACGAATCCAACAATTGGCGAATTCCGTTGTTATCGTCACAGAACACTCCAGTATCCTTCACCTATAACAGTCATATAATCCACTAGTCGCTAGTGTTATGATCCTGGTTTCGTGCATGTTGCAGTCAGGGTAGTGGAAGATCACTTTCTTGGTGAGAGGAATGTTATGCATACTAGCCTTCGAGAAATTGAGGTCTTGAGCAATGCAGTCACTACGTTCACGGTAAATTTTCTCCACATGATAGCGTTCGTGCTTGCCGACGCATTACAGCCTCTAAAATTGTGTCGCCCGTCTTTGTCGCGGACACTATATGGTATTTGGGTTGTGTCATTTAGTTTTCAACGGCTGAGCTCTGTGATACAAAGTCTGCTGAACAAGGTACCAATATTTTTATCATAGCCTGATAACTCTAATTTGGTGATTCATTCGACATCTCTTTTCCGAAGACTTTGGCACTCTCTAGCCAGCATGGTTACAGTTATGAAATGCGTTTCCATGTCCCCTGGTCCCTCCATTCGAAAGACGTTCCAGACTAGGGCACAACCGACTTTGATTTTCAGTGGTGTAGTTGAACTGTGAGATGGACAAATCCGACGGCCCGTTCCATCTTGCTTCTCGGTTGGCCTAAGAAAAGATGCGCCTTCTGGCTCTCTAGAGTGGGCGAAGTCACAGCAACAGAAGAAGGTAAACTGGGTTGTTATATTATAGCACGGCGATGAGTGAAAGTTACATTAACTACGATTACCGGACAGAGGTTTGGGACGTAGGCTTTGCGTTGTGCACGTCCATCTGCTTTAAGTGCGTAGGGCTCTGCGTTCGCTAACAAAAACACTCGGACATTTCCACGTCGGCCGGATTATCCTACGACTTACCGCTATATGCTTACAGCGAGAACTCAATGCGAACTAGCCTGAGGGCCTGTGTGCGAGCCTGCGATTGTCGTTTCCGAATTCTCCGCACTGCTGGTTAATAGATAAGCGGTTTGTGCATGGAGTGCTGAGGGAGTGTTTATTGAAGGCGAATGGGGAAGTAGTGATGAGGGTTTCTCGTAAGTGAATTAGATTATAGTAAGGAAAATTTGGGCATTGGCAGCTACAATCGCTCCTCCAATAAGCATCATATTCCCATAGGAAGACTAGGTAAAAAGGACCCATGACGAACAGTGAATGAGAAGACAGCAATTTTCATTTGAATGTGCGTCCCGTACGTCGTTTTCCCCCTTATATCCGATGATGAGTTCTTCTGCAAAGTCAGCGGACTGACGACTACACGCCGACTTCCGTCAGCTGGTTCCACTAGTCAGTCAAAATGGCAACCGTTTTGTGGTTTCGGTTCTATGAAGCCACAAAAACACCTGGGCGTCATGCTTGGCCTGACGGGGAAGCAGTCACTCGGTATGTGAAGCGATTTCTCTTCTATCACAATCAAGCAATTTCTCTTGGCACCCGATATGATATTCCGTTTGTCCTAAACTATGAAGACCACCGCTGTCCCCAGGACGTGGTGGTAACCTGATCGTAAATTTCTTTCTATTAAAGTCGGCTCGGGCTGCATTTGCCTCATTCAATAAACCCACACCCGACGTGTCTAAGGGCGATATCGAAGAATGCTGAAAACTAGCATGGACGAATTGGCTTATCGGACCAAGGCCGCATCACTTGTTACCGCGTGCGTACTGATCAATAACTCCACACAAACTAATCGCTAGTGCTGGCGGCTGGGGCCTCACACAGCTTAGGAGCTCACAGTGGCTTCATTATGAAGGGGTCATCGCAATATGATCCTCATTTCTGAGGATTTCGACTTCGTCTCGCCAGCTGGCAATCTGAACCACAACCTCAGTATGTTATTATAACTTAAAAACGCGCCATATTCACTATAATACTGAATGGGTTGAAATGCCGTGAACAGCCAGGCCATGCGGATATGCGCAAGGATACATGGTCAAGGATAAGACAACTCGACGCTGTCTACATTACTAGAGGTTCTCTTCCGCGTTCTCTTGATTTCCTAATTGCAGCGACTGTGAAACTGTTCAAAAGGAATTAATCAAGGCTGGAACGGGATATTGCATAGGAGGCAGGCGAAGGGAATTTTCAGTTACGTTGCTGGTTTGCTGTGCTTGTGGTAAGCATATCGTGATGGGGTTGCGACGGATTCGAAGATATTCAACAAGACCACTCTTGATCTTGAACGCGAGTTGACAGCGGAAGCATTTTTATAGGCTTCTGATATTGATTATGTTGATTTGTGGTGTTCCAACCCTGCACACTACTTGATTTCCTTGATACTTCGTAGTTAGTTAAAGTTGAAGTCTGTTGCCTCAGTTATTACAGCTGTTTGCCATGCCTACTGACCCTGTGTAGGTGGTCATCAGATCTCTCAGTTAATTTGATAACGCTTGTAAGAGGTTCTAAAGATTTCACTTGCTTGCTCTTTTTTATCTACTTTTTCCGGATCCGTTCCGACGTCCACATAAAAGACTAGCCCAAAGATGTGTTCAGGCATCAACCCCGCAATGCATCCTTGCGCTGAAGTTGAATGTATTTACATAAGACAAAACTACTAAGTAGACCAGACGACTTCAGTACATGAGCGTCCAGTACTATTTCTTGTCGCTTTACCCATGAATTCCTTCATAGATAGATTAAGAAAAAGTTGTTCAGCCTTCTGACCCGAGGTTTGCAGATTCTCCGTATCTATGCGCCCTAAAGGAACGTCTCCAAGATGATTGCTATAGTATCCAGACTTTTGTTTTGGGAAGAACGACAGAACGAAACAAAGCCAAAGGTTAAATATTGTCATGGGCCTCTTTAGATTTAGAGATCCGGGCTGAAATTTGACGATCCCCAGGTGGGGATTCTCAGGTAATAGGAACAGCCCACTACCGTTGGACAAGTAATGTAGCAGTTACTACGGCTTCTGTATTTTCAATAATTGCCATCGGTTGTGTAACGGTTATTGCTCTTGTACGTCAGTTAATAATCCAAAGTCAGCTCATCCGCAGATGAAAAGATCCAGTCCTTGTTACATGTCTGCCTCATATATGTTCATTACACAATAGTCGAAAGTTAAAAGTGCACGCACTATGGCCTTGGAGGTTCTTATGAAAGGCTGCATACAATGGATGTCAAACAGTTTTCTGTGAGTTCAATTATTTATGTTAAAATTCGTTCGATTCTCTCGGTAGGCGTTCACCCACATTGCGGAGGACATGATACTAACGATGGCTAAAGCAGATAGGTAACACTGCTCCACTCTTCGTATCGATGTGAAGACTTCCTACATTGATCCACCGTTCTCGATCTGCCTCATTTTACCACGTTGGAACTACCTACATATCAGCGTCAGTCATTCGTAACGTCAGAATTTTGCTACTAATTTCAAGAGCCAATCTTGGTCCATGTTGTTGAAGGTTTTTGTGTAATCAGAAAAGGTTGTGTTGAAAATCGTCCTCATTACCTTGCATTTTCCCAGCAGTTGCTGGGCTACGAGCATGTCGGTGTTCGCCGAATTTCTCCGAAATCCACACTGGCTAATTAAAAGGGGTTTTTCTGGTATAAAATTCGTACTGTTAAGGAGGATAAAGTTGAGAATTTGCCGGCATTACTGCGAGGGCAGCTTATTTGGCGATCGTTACATCCCGCTAATCTTCATGCGCAAGTGTATTTGGACAGTTGTTGCGTCCTCAAGACCCGTATAGTCGCAAATTCTGCAACCGTTGGATAGACTGTTCGATAGGTGGCACAGTACGATGTTTAAGAAGAAGAAGAAGAAGAAGAAGAAGAAGAAGAAGGAGAAGAAGGAGACTAGATCGTTGAGCTATAAGTTCTATCCGATTGATATCCCCAATTCGTTTTCTGACCCATAATTAGAGGCAAAGACATAAAGAGGCAGCAAAAGTGTAAGGCTTGAAGTGGATGCAAGATACCTTTCCTGGCCAACCAGCCCTCTTAAAATTAGTAGCTCCCACGTTCATCGAAGACGGCCGCACATGCTGTAGCGATATCTTTGTTGGCCTCATTTAACATGTTTGCAGTCGCGACCTCATCATCGATGTTGATGACTGGCGGGATAATCACTCGGTTATTCGGACCACCAGTACAATCACCGAGCAGGTTATCAGTCTCACGCTCCCACCGCGCCCAGTTATCCTGTTCGGGCAAAGTGCTACTGACGAACAAGACGGGGATCATTATTGAATTTGTCAGTAAACTGCGGGAAGATTAGCTACGACTCAAGCAACTCGCCACTCACGTGATTGTCAACTTTCACAAAGATTTCGGCTTTGACGAATTCGGAAGTGGGCCGAAGTTTGGGAATTTGTGCCATTCTGCCTAACCGCTGAGACGCCTTTAGACATCCACAACCGTACTTATCTGCCTTTTTCTTTCATATAACTGCTCTGTTCCCAACTGTACAAGGTCTGAAAAACAGCTCAAACATATATTTTGGTGGCGTCGAGTTCAGACAACCGAGGTACGTACAGAACAGAGGCAGTCCCCAGACATCAGGTGATAAGGCCGGTTTAATAGCAGCTTCATATTATAAATATAAATAGATATAAATATTTAACCCCTTTGCGTCCGCTATCTCTGTCTGTAGCTGATTCTGTTAATGGGTTCAAGAACGGATCCGATATGTGGGACGTTTAAAGGTTATGCTATGCAACAGTACTCTTTATCTACTGTATTGCCTTCTGGAAGTCAATTTTTCACGCGTATCGCATCTATGATTTCAGAATTCGATCTAACTTGAGTGCGCGGAGATTAAGGTCAACCGAAGTCAGTACACGACTCCACTTGCAGATGGCCGGTCTTAAATTCACTCACATTGGTCGATCCGGCGCTCTATGTTCTCCGATTCCTCCATCAACAGGATTGCTCCCTCTAAGCTGGGAAGAACCATAGTTCAGTGGGCTGGGTGTTTCAGACTGCTTTGATGGTCACAATGAATGTCTTCGTTTATGTTTCCTTCTCGCGTTCTTGGATCTTATTTTCAATACGAGTTACCCAATCTTTTACTCTGTAGATCTTCGTTCTTGCCATCAGATTATGTCTTAGCTTTTTGACTCACTGGTTCGATGACTTCAACAACAGTGACATGGGCGACCTCACCCAGTCTTTTTTAACTTCGCTTGGCATCTTCACCCCCTCCCCTCCTCCGGGTTTGCATGCGATCCAGAGTGGTACGCTTTTTCCTAGATAGTTCTCGCCTGGATTCAGACATCTTCAGTGTCTCCTTCGTTTGATGCCGTTCGCAGTTGTTGGAGTTGTAGTTTCAGTTTTGAGATGGGCAAACAGGTGTTTCTTCGCATTTGACATCATTCTCCATCTCTGTTCCAAACACGTCACTACGAGCTTGCCCATCCCCTGACGAGCAAATGGTTCAGCGGTCGCCACTGACTTGAGCGGGTGAACTCGCACCTTTCTTCCATGGATTAACAAAACAGGAGGGCTTGCTGATGGGTGGCATATTGTGTTCTGCTTGCCAACGCGGCGAAAGGAGTCCGATGGTCTATTTTGGGGTGACCGGCCACTTCCAGGTGACATAATCTTCATCCGCATATGCTCTGAAGTAGCGGAGGTCGGCCAATTTGTCCGTCGTCGATACGGATGGGAGGGGGGCGTAGACAGTAGAATCGGCGGAAAAGTTTCTCTCTGCTGATTAAGGGGCCAAGTGGCAAGAGGCACTCCAGCATTACGGAATTTTTTCCTGAACGACCGTCTAGAGGTCAATTACATTCAGATGTCCTTCTTCCTAGGAGCGATGCTGTTGAATACGACGATGTCAACCTTGCAATGAGTCAGTTACCGAAAGGCTACAGCCGTTATTCACTCTAATCGGTTGTCCATCGAATGAATCAGTTTTACAGGCTGCCTCAACGATCGAAATGAACAACGAGAGGGAAATAGTCCTCTTGGTGGCATACTGCCTTTTAACGAAACGCTTTCGATAACTTTACTGGAGTTTTTATGATGACGAATACATAAGTAACCCGTATTTCTCATTCATATTTTGTACTAGAGAAGGACGGCAGTAGCCGGAGGTAATATAAAGGAACACTTTCTGGTTAATGAGTCTTTGTCCAACTTTTTGAGCATGTGATAAAATGTGCCAGAGTAATTGCGGCGTTTTAGAAGTTAGAGATGACCCCAACCGCAATACACGAGGTCCTGTGAAAATGCATCCAAGGAAACCCGCCCATCAGGGGGTTATACATTTTGAGCACACGTCAAAATACTCTCTCCTCCGAATGGTGATGTAATGCATTATGTTCTCAAGACCTGAACGGTTATTTATTACTGCTCTTCGTTTTCCTCGGATTATTCTTTGCAAAATACCCCCTCAAGCTATCTAGTAAAGGTATCCAAAGCAATGAGTGCAAAGCTGTAAAAAATTGTCCACGCTTGAACGTTGCGCATTATGCTTAGTCTGATGGTCTCTTACCTGGCTTTGCGGAAATTAATGTAAAATTTATTAAATATTTACTCGGTAGACTTTTGTGACGCCCTTGTGGAGCAAGTATTTTAGGATGGAAGTCTACAAAACTTATCTCACAGCCGCGCACCTAAGGAGTTGAAATGAAGATACCTATGAACTGGCGCTTGGAGTTGTTGGCGAGATAATGGCCGCGAAGCATTTATTTGGTGTTCATAGTGTTAGCTCACTTAACACTGATGTAATGGATGAGCAAGTCTAAAAAAGGCGACACGGTTGTAGCAAATGACGAAGGTTCGCGAATTCTTGTGTCCAATGTAATAAACAGCGACCGCGACAGAGCATATGTATCAACCTACGAGACTCGGGCTACCTTTTCTGGCCATTTTGACCATCTCCTTTTCCGACTAACTAGATTTAATGATGATGACCATTGCCGCATTACCGCCATTCATAATCAGCGTACCGCTCGAGAGAAACAAAAACGCATCACTCTGGGATGATCATGTTTCCCGGCACCACCCTCGAGTTTATATACAGGATATAAACGCTTGAGTTCCATGCACATGAGCATTAGAATGCTACCTTAGTAAACTGTTTAAGCCGACGGCATATCAAACGATTGCTGTTTATCTTTAATGAGTTACTGTGTATTCTTTGGTTTGGGGCCGCCTGGTAAACACAAAAAGAACAAGAACCCATTTTACTTCGGATGTTTATTTTAAATGGGTGCTTGTGTGAAACGATCAATAAAATTGTTTCCAGGGAAAAGAAGAGCGTCTAAGAAGACAAATTGATCTCACGTAAAAAGTTGTTACCATTAGTGCAAAAGGGCATCTAACGAGTCTTGAGATACAACTGCCGAGTGCTAACGGTAATTGTAAGTACGTCAAAGTATACAAACGTAAATCTTAATTCTGACATTTGGAATAAACAGCGAAAATCTGTCTACTGAACCATGCCCCTCAAACTGTGATACATCGTGTGCCGAAAAACAGCATCACTACTTTCAGAGAACTGAATGACTCACACCTGAGTTGTGGTTTCCAATAAACCCGCATATAATCTCCGGAATGCTACCAGCACCATCACCGCCACTACCACTACAAACAACATAAATCAATGTAAGATGTCCTAGTTGAGCTCAGCAGAGTCAGAGATGAGGTCGGCCGGAGACAATATGACAGTGCTTTCACCCGACTGCAAGTTGAAAAGTCATCAGGCCGATGATCTCTCTAGAATTTTAACAGTCTTCCACCAGTGAAATAAGTTATAATGTAGGTTGGCGACCACGACGCCTGCTGCGTTATTAACTAAGGGGGAAATTCAGACCGAAGTGTACAAAATCAAACGAGAAGTACCGAGACTATTGCGGAAGGCCATATTTATTCTGTCTGACTCTGCTTCACAGAACATTCTTCGGAAGTGGGCCCTGTTACTCGAGAACTTTGGCAGCGAACATATTTTCCGCGGGTTTTCTTTCTGACTTCTCTTCTGAGGATTACCCCGAAACTATTTGAACCACTTCTCCTTCTTGACATTATGGACCTTCGAATGCTACCACTGTTAAGAAGTTCTTGGCGAAAAAGGCTGAAACGAGCCTGGAATAGCTATTTCTGGATCACATACCGTCATCAACTGATGACACCCCAATTGGTGCTGCACACCCGAGATGTCAACTCCGAGTGGGTTAAAAATCGAGCAATGCTCTCACCTCTTCACCTCTTCCATTTCAGCTGAGATCGATAGTAGGTGGGCGCATGGAACTGGTGTGTATCAGTCTGTCCTGATCGTAGGACAGAATTGAGCATTTCGGTTTTGCCTTGGAGCCATACGGACGATTGTACGGTGGCCAGCAACCTATAATTGGGAACTGTTCGCTGACAAAAGGAGGAAAAAAACTAGAATGGCCATCTCCAACTTATCTGTCGTCATTAACCGGCGCTGCCAATAGGTAAGGCTACAAATCTGAGACTTGAACTGTGAGTTGACTGATCGCCAAACAACGTTCTCCCCACTGCTCCAACGGGCTTGCGTCATGTCGTGATTGTCAGATCTCTACATTGCACGTTGACTATTTTGGCGTCCTGGTAATCGAAAACACCTTCCAAATGTTCTAGTTTAAGAAGGGAGGAGAAATTAAAGGGTATAATTAAAATTTCACACACACGTTGGTCAGTTTTTATGTTCTTTCAGACGTCATTCAATAGTTTCTTAATGTTAGGCTGATAACCTTTTACAGGTTAAAGACAACTAGGCCGGAGAAGTTTTCATCTAGATCAGTAGTTAACTAACGCCATCAGCGTTGAACTTGTTAATAAGTACACGGTGTACCGTGAGTCTTGAGTCTCTTTCTTAATTATACCCCTCTGAATACGTCTCCTACTAATAGTATTGACGGATTTCTCTAAAGAAAGTGTTGTTTTCTGTTGGAGAGTGCAAAATGTTCTTAAAAATCTATATTTCTCCCAATTAAGCATATCTTGAAAATTGTCATCTGTGGTGACTTTCTTCTTGCGGTAGTTTTTTTCACAAGCACTGTTTTTAATCTGCTTGAATGCGTTCCTTCCGTCACCCGTGCTGTCAACTGCACAGAAAAACTACTACTCCAAAATAACCTAGTTGTTTTCGACTGCAGTCGCATTCTTGAAAGTCTCAAAGTTATTGCCTTTCGGTCGTTTGAATGACGCAGAGTTTTCGATCGACTGAAGCGAGCTTCTTCTTAAGTCGGTGCTTCGCAGAAATTACATCAAGGGCGCTTACGGCATCATCGAGTAATGACTAATCGAGGCGACAATTGCCAGATTGCCTGTCGGCCACTGATTGGTCGGGCCTAGCCAGCCGGCATGATTCCTCCAGATGATTCGCCCAAACGTTAGCGTGGCCGTAATCTGGACCTGCGAACGGCAGTTGCATTCCTAGTTGGCGTCTTTTCAAGCCGCCACACCAAGGCAATAACCGGCAAGGTAGAAGAAGGACGACACCACCAAAAAGTACTTTTAAAGGCACCTTCCACACCTGTACCGGACATCCCAAAAACCTACCAGGTGGGCAAATGGCTTGAATATGTCTTATGTTTTTTTTAAAAAATAAGCATATATTTTGCCTCCTTTTAGGGCACACAACTTATATTCTTCAATAGTAGTGAAAATGCGATTCCCAGGTGGCATATCAAAGGATGAGAAGGCGTTCGCTGGGGAGGGAGGTTTATTGGAGGTCCGACGTTTCGAGTAGTTGAACATAGTGCGCCATATAAGGGGAGCTGTGCGCAGGACTTTCTAGTCTCTAAAGATGCATAGACGAATCAACTACTCGAAACGTCAGACCTCCAATAAACCCCTCCCGGTGAACGCCTCCTCTTCCTTTGACTTATATTGTTATTCCGAACTCGCATTTGGCCAACTTACTCCCTCTTTTACTAAAATGCTTCTATGCTAAATCTAGTCCGGCTTCACAACGAGAAGATGACCGCCCTTTCTGCATCATTCAAAACATAAAATGAAATGCAAAAGTCAACTGCATTAAAATGTTTACTCGGGGATCTACATAATCTTAATAAGAAAAGGGCAATCTAAGTTAACATTTTCGGATAACAATGACGTTTCATTTTAATGACCTTAGAGACGACTTCGATTCCTCTTTCATTTGGTTCGTAAGGGCTCCAAAACAGCCGTCATAGTGGTGACAGAAGCATTCTGTTTATTAATCCCCATTACTGGATGAAATCTGACAAAATGTCACTTGCTTTCAAACCCGTTATTTACGACTGTGCATTTGAAGAATACTTAATAGCCTTGAAAACGTAAACTTTTTGTGACCAAGTAAATCGTCAGTTGATACTGCCATCAATTCTCTGCCCATACAAAAGTTTGATTTACACCGTTTGCGCTTTGTTCTATAAACCAGTATTAAAACTGAACATATCTAAATAAAGCATGTTTCAACATGATTTCGAAAAGCAGAATTGGCATGCCAAGTTAAAACGGAACTCTGACCTTCTGACCTGAAATTCCGACCTCAGTCGACAGAGCAAGAAGTCCAGACACATGGAACAAGTGATCTTATGTTAGAATTTTGAGGTTGGACTAAAATTGGCAGATAAGCCGGAAAGGAAAGGAAGGGCACTCGATTGCTGGAATGTGAGCGTTTTCGACTGATGTTTTTTTGGCACACCCCTGAGCACATCACCAGAGACAACAACATCGGGCGCATTGGGATTGGTCAGTTCCTCCATTCCATTTGTTGTACGACCACATCTCTATTCAAATTAGTTGTCGCACCCATCGAAGGCGTTTGCTCCGGCGAAAACACTTCTTACCTTAACAACTGATTTTCTTTCCCAATTACTGCCCCAATCTTATATTTCTATATAGTGGACAGAAATTCGCACTCTACTTCCCTTACCTTCCTCAGCAATGCTCAAAACACTCCGAGAAAGAAGATGTGATTGTTGAGACTAGAGGTTTATTGGCCTGAAGTTTTCGACTGCTGCTAGAACATATCTCCAGGGTCACTAAATATTGTCCCACTGGTGCATTCGAGCATAAACTTTGAACAGTCCTTTATACGCGTATTCGAACAGATGAGGTAAATAGAATAGGATTTCGGCCGCTTCTATTGGTCCCGGAGATGAAACTATGGAAAGATACTCCAGAAACCAACTGTTTACTTTTCCGATCAAATATCATTTTTTTCGCTACTTTCACACAAAGTTAAATAAATAATTGTTATAGTTTTCCGAGAAACACAGTATTAACATGTAGAAGGACAGCTTGACCAAATAACAATCCTGTAGTTGTAGTTAACATAGAACTCAAAATCTTCCATCCTGTAGTCGTACTCAGATGCCTGGACAGGCGCTTACAAAACGTTAAAGAAACTTACAATTGGTTCAAAATTAATTTACATTCAAACACAATCCAACGATCCCGAAGTTCATGACTTTTACGTATTTTTTAAAACCAGTTAATCTAGTTTCTCTCACCTCTTTTAAGTTGTTTCTGAGCAGGCCAATCTGAAATAATATAATTTCGGAACTTTTTAGAACGTCAAGTCTCTGACCATCAGTGAACACCAATAGTGCAGGAACTATAAGTCGGCGCTTGGTCGTACAGACGAAAATGGCATCCGCAACACAGAGCAATGGTAAGTTAAAAAATCTTAAGGCACATCAAAAAGTGTGCAACTTTAATAACAGATTGAATCAAGTGTTGTCGATAGTTTCCTCCTCATATGTTTGCAAATTTCGGGTTTTTGGCGTATCAGCAAACTACATAATAAGGAAACCATCATCTCAAACCATCCTCTAATATTCTAATTATAAATCGGCATAGAATGAGGATATGATTGCTGAAAATGGATATAAGACATGTACATCTAACGAGCCCTTTCGAGATTGCAATGGGTATCAAAGCAAAATAACTGAACAGCTTTTCCCAACGCCCGTAAGTTGCTTAGTAGTGGAGCCGAAAGTGCTCCGGTTTGTACTTTCCTTCATTGCTATGGTAATCTTAAAGTCATGATAAGTTCAGGAAAGACATGGTTCAGTTTAATGCCTCGAGACCAATTGCTATCGCCTACAAATTCATAAAGCAGAAATTCATTAAGACCTACCTCCAGAAAACAAGATGCCTTCAGACAGTTATCGTTTTCTTGGTAAAGTAAAACTCATGTGGATTTTGTCTGAATGGAATAAAGTGATTGCTGAGGAACAGAACTTTGATTGGAACTTCTTCATTTTCGATAATTTCGACCGCTCAAGCCTGTTGTCTAGAGTAAAAGATTTCGAGTATATAAACAAGGTCAAAAATCAATGTTCCTAGCGCCCGAGCCATACTGCATGCTTGACTACAAAGATCCATCTTCAGATGGCAAATGGGGAGTAAGGAAACCCTTAGAAAACCTAAACTTTTTAAAGTCGTGACAGCTTTAATTTACCTGAGTAGATTCAGCACCCCGGCCTATTTTAAACTGAAATAAATCGTTAGTGAATAGTAGAAAAAGGCAAAAACCCGATTGTTCAGCTGAAAAAAGGTTCAAAATAATTGCCACAAAAGTATGCTTGCGTGTTTTTTGCTTATAAAAATAAAGTATGTCCTAATGCATTACTGTACATTCCGTCTCCCGTCTCATTATCTTATTCCTCTATTCTAGGAATCTCAGAGATGCATAGCAATCTCGAGGAACTGAAAAAAGCTTTGCCTCACGTCGACCTTGAAACCGGACTAAAAAACCGAGGTAAGATATGGCAAAGTAATTGTAACTTCATTAGCTATAAGGAGGAGTATAATTAAACAGTCGGCAGGTTTGACCGCCGGTGTTACTCAACTCTTTCGCTTCGAAATTACAGCCAAATATCAAGCCGGCATGCATCGTAAA